AGCCACGCCCACAAAATAGGCTACACCCACAGAATAGGTTCTAAAAAAAATTGAAACCCACCACTGGTACTATGCTATTATACCAAATAGATAATTTGTCCATCTTCCAGTATTTTAGAATTTAGAGTATTCCAAAAGTGTATCTAGAAACTAGAAAATTGAGTTTATTTAAACGGCTGGATTAAATAATTAAAAGTGCAGTTTTAAATATATTTCCTTTGAAATGATGAGATATACTTCAAGTTTGACATCTGTAGGTTTGTGCTGTTAGGAACTTTGATTATTTTCAATTTGTTGATGGCAGATGCTGTCCTAGAAGAAACATTCCTTATCTTCACATGCAGGATGTAATGCTTCCAAATAAACTCATACAGCAACATGGTTATATAGACAAAATCTGAGTCATGCTTTACATCAGGGATATCAAACTTGATTTCATTGAGGGCCACTTCAGGGTGGTGTTTGACTTGGTGGGGCCAAGGTGGGCATGGCCAACTCGATGTCACTAGTGTCAGGGCAACTGTGGTGGCCTGAGTGCTCTGTCAGTGAAAGCAGGCTCTTGAGCTCCATTTTCTGTTGTGACAGCTTCCTGCAACCCTCTGCCAGCAAAAATGGAGCTCGGGAGGGCCACCCGTTGTCCTCCCAAGCACCATTTTTGCTGACAGAGGCACCACAGTCCAGTCCTTTGCTGTTTCCAGGGCGGTCTTGCAGGCCTGATCCAAGCAACCACTGAGGTGAATCTGGCCTCCGGGCCTTGAGTTTGACACCCCCATCTTATAACTTGAAGAAAAATTGTGAAAACTGAAAAAAGAGTTTAGTTTTGAAGATGTTGCACAGTTTTCGACAACATTCAGAGTGTATAATGATGGGACAGGGCGGAAAAATCTGCAAGTAGTACAGTTTTTTTTTATTTCTGCTGTTTTTTCTCACTACTAGATGGGGAGAGAATCAGAGGTTGGTTCCCAAGAAAATGTGTGGAAAAATGCCTGTATGATTCTGAATCAGATCAGCCATTGGATGGAGAAAAGAAAGCAAGATAACCCTTGTGATAACTGGAAAAGTTTGCTTTGGACCACTGTCCTTCTACTTGAATATTGTGTATATATTATTATGTATGGAACAAAGATCACATTTTGTGTGTTTGCAAGGATGGGAGCTTCAGTGCCATAATCCTAATCATCTTTTGCCATTTTTAAAAGAGAGGAAGCCATTTCATGGACACTTTTTCATATTAAAGCTTTCACAATATAGAGCACATTTGGCCTGCTTTTTTATTTAATTTTATTATTATTATTATATAATCTTACGAAACATAAGAGCTACATTTTTTTCTGATGTTTAAGTACTGCTCACTCATAAAAATATATTCTTGTTATTTACATTCCTCAAATTACTTTTCTATTGCCATCATGAAAGTCAAAAGGTCTATGTAAATGAATGCAGCTGAGTTGACTTAGCTGATGCTTTGGATTTTTTTTTTTAATATGTAATTTTTATTAAACAAAAATAAAATAGGAAAGATTATATTTTCTCTTCGGTGCATCTTTAGAGATGAACGTCTTGCTGAATGTTTGCAACGAAATAAGAAAACCAGATAACAATTCACACATGTTAACCTATCATAGCACTGTTTGCTTTTGTGTAGTACAGTGTTTTTCAACCACTGTGCCGCAGCACACTAGTGTGCCGTGACATAGTGTAAGG